ATTTATATCTGCCATTAACCAGCTCCCCCAACCACTCCATGCACTAATCAGAGGTCTTCCCATAGTTGCTGCTCAGGGGTTTGGGTTAAAAAAAAAAATAGAGAGAGAGATTGGAAAGAAACGGACTATATTTCTAGCTTCACATTTTTTCCCTTAATATGGCCAGTTTGTAATTATATATTTACTTATCTTTCTCCGTATTGACTGCTCTCCCTTCCCTCAAGCTATAAGCCTCATAAAGGCTGGAAAACGTGTCTGCTTTGTTGACCAAGGTATGCCTGATGCTGGCCAGAGTAAACATGTTTAATGAATCTCTGTGGAATATAGGAGTGAATGTAGAGGAGAAGGAGCTTATTCAGGGTGGATTTTCATTTACCCTAAAGAAGTGAAATGAAAGCAAACTTTGGTGGTTTTGTTTAACTGTGGGCAAATTGGTATGGACTGAGAAATTCAATTAACTGTATTCATCAATTTTTGTTTCTGGGCTAGAATCATGAGACTAAGACCCGGAATTCTTGGTCCCACCTCTTTTGTGGCATTAAAAACAAAAAACAAAAACAAAAAACCAAGCCCAAACCTTGGCATATTACACCACCCAGATTTTTTTCTTTGTCTCAAAGAAGGCTCAGCTGAACAGTAGATTCCTCACCCAGCACAACAATCACAAACTCCGAAAACCTCAGCTGCCCCAGATGATGTCACAAAACCCTTAAGAATGCTCACTGCTGAGTTGGGCACAGGTCCAGCAAACACAATTCTTCCTGCCAGTTATTCAGGGTCTTTGACAGATTAGGTGGTCTTTTTTTCTTCTTCTGCTGCTTCTTTTTTTTTTTTTTTCCCAACCTCTTAAAAGGCAGTTCAGTTTACCTCTAAGCAAGACATTAGCTCTGGCTGCCCCAAATAACATTTTAATTGAAGTCTCAGTCCAAACAAATGCCCAGCCTCTTTATTAACCCCAACAGTGTAATTTTTCAACCTAAGACTGATTCAGGGGAAACTGTCTCACTTAAACTGCTACGCAATGGGACATGGCAGTTTTCCTCAACCAGTCTCTTTTCTGACCTTGATTTGAACCTTAATCTCTTCTAACGATGTTTTCTTTATTAGCTGCTCACAGCCGTGGCACAAGACTAATTTTCCTGTTTTTAGACTATCAGTTTACAGAGGTATTTCACTCCCCCTTTTGCCCCCAAGAGTCACCAAGATTTCATGGACCTCTTTGAGAAAGGGAAGGGAATACCTATGTTTCACATTTGTTGTTGTTGTGGTTTTTTAAATTTAGTAATTTAAATAGCTGCTTTGCAAAATGTTCTATAGAATTTTAGATTGTATTTTTGAGGTACATTGAAGTTTAGGTACAAAGAAACCATATTCTGAATTGTCAGAAAAACCTAAAAAAAAAAACCAACTCTTTTAAATTATTTCAAAAGATCTTTCATCAATAGCCTGGTCCACACTCATAAAATGAAAACTAAGGCTATTATCTGAATAATTCAGGCAAAAACAATATGTTTTTATTAGAGACCTCTAATCTTTTAGGGGAGATCTGAATTATCCAGATAATTGCTGCAATTCCTTCCTTCGTTTTAAATGCTTAAACATAATCACTGAGTAATGACAGAGAAAATCATTTTTCTTCATTATACCTTCCCATTTTTTGACATTGGTAAAATGATCCAAATTAAAAAAAAAGTGCACCCTTTTCAATAACAATGAAAAAAAATGTGTTTCTCTATTTGGTGTATACCTTAATATAGCAGAACTATGTAGGTAGAAAAACAGTGCTTGTGATCATGTGCTCAGTTAGATTTATTATAGGTTTTTGTACTTTTTGGCATTAGCGTGAAAGCATATTGGTTATTATTTTTTATAACCTAATTGGAGGCTTTGTATCTAGTTACCCCTCTGTTCTCAGCTTAATACAATAGTTTATTGATTGCAAAAATTACATTTCTGTGACTTTAAAGTCCTAGAACTAGGATTGCCATTGAAAGTTGGGGATTTAGCCTGGTGTTTGGAGGGCAGCGACCATGTGCCCTCTGGGTGTGAGGAGGTAGGCAGCTGGGAACAGTTGTCTGTCCCCTGCGGTGTTCAGTGGTACTCGCAGCATGTTGGCATGATAAACTTTGCCTCCATTTCACTGGTTCAAACAACTAGTGGGATTGAATCAGAGTTCTCCTAGATCATAGTTTATTATATGTTACTAAATTCCATTATTCAAGAAGTTGCTGCTATGATTATAAAACTTCCCAACATATCCTGCAAAGCTCTCATCTCCATTCCTGGTGCATTTCCTTTTACATTGATCTTTTGCTTCTCTGATGGGCAAGTTTTGTTGTTTTTTTTTTTTTCTTTTTCGTTCCCCTTGGTACTTATTTAAAGAGCTAAGAGCTAATTTGAAAATACGTCTACGAAAGGACAACAGAAATGAGATGTGAAAAAAACTGGATGAAGATTCTTAATTAGTCCATTATTTGACACGCACGATTTAACATGGTATGCTTAGCATTGTGCATTCCCCAAAAGAACAAGGCTCTTTTTTTTTTTATCCCAAACTTTAGCTCCCTCTCATTCATTATATCCCTTCTTGTCACTTTCCATTAGCTGATCATGACATCCTTTGCTGGAAGGGCGAGCAAGCAGATTACTTCCAAACTGGTGTAAGTGACACTCAAAAGACTGGCCTAAAGGGAGTTCTGTGGCAGCAACAAGCTCCTCAGCCCCTGGAGCTGGAGAATGTCATTTCAATAATATACTGGAGTCCGTTGTCACATCATTTCTGTAGCAACTTGGCAACTTCCCAGAAGTGGCAGGAATAGGTCTTCTACCGTGATGGAATCTGATATTATCACTGTCGCTGACAATAGTAATAATACAATAGTATAGTATAATAATATAATTAATAATAATAATTAACATTATTAATAGTATATACTACTAGGAATAGATAGTAATATTATTATTAATAGTATAGTATAATAATAAATAATAATTATTATTTTTATTATGTACTGAGCCAATCTAATCCTTCTAACTAGCATCTTGCATTTTACAGATGAGGAAACTGAGGACTGAAGTGGTTAAATACATTGTCCATGGTCACACAGCTGATAAATAGCCGAGCTAGGGTTTTAATTGAGGTCTGGCAGACCCCCAGCTATGCCTCTTTCCGTTAAAGCAGGTTATGCATAACACACCAACTTTTAGGAAACTTCACCGTGTCTCCCTAATTTTGTTGCAACTGAAAACTAACCTGTCACCAGGCCCTTCTGAGTGGAGGTGGGGATGACTGAATGAGGCAGCCAGGGATCAAACACACATGATCAGATGGTGCTAAGGAAAGAAGTGCAGGATCTGATGCTCTGATCAGCTCAGCCCTAGTGAGGCGAACTGCTCCCAGTTCATCATCCCTGCCACCCCACCCCACCCCACCAGCCCTCTCCTACTCTCAAAGGTCCAACCTTGGGAATCATCCTCAGCCTTGGAACGGCATTGGCCTGGGAAGAGCTGAATGGTTGCTGATAAGAGGTGTGTCCCAGTCACAGACAGCAATGAAATCTGATCTGAACAGCACTGGGACCAGTTCTGGCTGCCACTCAGACCCTCATGCCAGCTTCCGGCCTCATAAGCTCCTCTGTTCCTGAAAACACAAGTTTTCTTCATTAACCAAATTTTAGATTCTTCCCTTCACATGAAGCACATTTTAGCTTCTTTTCCCAGGAATCTTTGAAATATTTTGATCTTAAAGTAAAGAATAGGGAAATACAAAGCAATACGTTAAGTAAAAGTTGCCTGTTATTTGACTACCAGGAGAAAATTCATAGTCCCATGATATGTACCTTTTCTGTTCAGGCTGTACATATAGGCTAGGCTTTAGGTAAAACATGGTGGTTGTAGGATGGACTCTGAAACCGGACCACCCAGCTTTAAATGTAGATGCTGCCACCAGCAGCGTGACCTAACCTCTCGGGATCCCAGTTTTCTCATATGTAAAGTACTTCCCTCCGAGAGCTATTGTGACGATGATCTCATGCGCGTGACATAGCTGGCCCATGGCAATCACCTCCTGCATCTAGTTCCTGGTACATAGGCGCTGGTCCGTGATCTTGTCTTACTCGCTGTTTCTGACCATGCTCCAGCCTCCTTGAATCCAAGCCCATATTTAACTTCATCTTCAGCCATGATTCCGTCCCTTCTCCGTCCATGTGGTGTGATCAGCTTCCCTCTTGCACCTCACCGGTGATTTTCCAGGTCTCAGCTCCTGCCCATTTAGCCATAACTCTTACGTAAGCGCCGCCAGCATCTTCTATCCACGCCTGCATGTTGGATGCATTCCTGCCTGGATGCGTTGCTCGCCCTGCCTGAAACCAAGGCAAAGCCTGAGCGTAGCCCTCCTTGTTCTTAGCCGGCTGGAAGGCCTTGGAGGGAGTGCAGGTGGAAGCAATAGCCTGAGTTTGTGATCGTAAAGACAGCAGCAGCATCAGCCCACAGTTTTGGGGCTTCTGGAATGAAGAACTAGCTTCCAGATATATAGATGTATGCAATACCGAAGCAAGTGTATTTGTTTAAATCACTTTACATGTAGAAGATGAAGGTAATTATGAATGATCTTTTTAAAATCTTCTCTTTGAAAGCCCTCTGTTGTCAAGGCCACACTCCCAATCATCTCTGTACCTCTGAGAAGGGGGAAAATATGTACATATGTATGTATATGTTAACTGGGGGGAGTGTGTGTGCTGGGAGAGCGGCCGGCCAGTGGCAGGAATGGGGAAGAGAGAATTATATTAAATGAAACTGGAAGTTCACGTGGACCTTTCAGACGTAAAAAAAAAAAAAAAATTGTTGATTTTACATGCCAAAGTCTTGAAAGGAGCTTGACGGCTCACGGCTTTGGTGTATTTTTCCAGATGGCAGATGCCATTTTGTGTTTTGCATAAACTGACTAAATTTGCTTGCTCTTTGTACTTATTTCAGAGGCAACCATTCTTTGCTTTCAATAGGACAGAAGAGCTCCTTGGCACTGGAACCCTCCTGGTCTGGTGAGGGAGGGATGAGGGATGTTCTGAGGACACACAGCCATCATCCAAAACTTCCTACATTCGGATGGAGGAAAGAGGTTGCACCAGAGCTTCGGATCCACGTTGCCTAAGGGATGATTCAGACTGTGTGAACGAGTCACAGAAGGTGAGCTATGCTGAAAAACTTTCCAAAGCTATCTTTCCAGTTTGCCCATTCTTATCTCCATGGTGGACAAATAGGTTTGTGACGCTCTTAATTCAAGTCCTCTACATCTTGCTAATTGCTGGTTGTGTGATCCTGAAACTTAATTCCTCTGTACTTAAGTTTCAGCCAAAAAAAAAAAAAAAGAATAGTAATAAAATAAAATTAGGATGATAGGAATAAGTAATACTCCTCTCTTAGGATTGTTGTGAAGATTCCATGAGTTAGTTAATCCATGTAAAGGATTTACAACAGTGCTTGGCATCCAGGAAGTGTTCAAGAAATGTTGGTAGTTATTATTGTTATGATTCATTTCTGTGGAAATTTGCATTTTTCCCCCTTATTTTCTGAGGAGAGACCTGCTCGCCTCCCAATGTCATTATGCCAACTCTTTGGGTTCTTTATGTGGAAATAGACTGGTAATAGAGTGGTTCAACTGTCGGCTTTGCAGTCAAACAGAATCAAGTTGAAGTTCCTGAAGTAACAATCAGTAGCTTTAGCTCCTCAAGAGTGACTTCATTTCCCCAACCCTCAGTTTCTTCATCTATAAAATAGGGATGATAATAATCTTACCTGCTCTGTAACATTTTTGAGAAGATTAAATGTCAGAGTGCTTGCACAATATCTGGCAAGGATGTAAAGCATGTTGGTATTGTTATTATTTTTGCTCCCCCAAATATAGCGCTCTTAGACTCAAAAGTGCCTCAAGGAGCTTGTCAGGGCTCCAGGGCTTTAGCTTCATGTCAGCTTCCTCACCAGAAAAGAGAGCAGACACAGAAATAGAAAGATGCTGTGAGGCTATGGCTTTACAGGGACTCTGCCAAATAATGACACAGAATTGAGAGAGTCAGGTCTTGCTCAACATGGATTCCAATTAACGTTAGAAAACTCAAATTTCTCAGCAGGCCAATCCCCACTCATTACATTGGAGATGATTCCAAAGCACTAAGGAACTTCGGCCTTAGTTTTCTGTCCTAAGTACCCCCAAAGTCAAGTGTAGAGTCAGGTAGGCTGTGAGGGAGCACGAGTGACCAGGGCTGGTCACCTCTCATGGAGGAATCTGGCATTTGTACATCATAAATATTTAAATTTCACATTTTCAAAAATGCTTATTTTTTTCTTCAAACCAAAAATGGATAAAAGCTGCATCCGTGAGTGAAAGAAGCCCCTCTCTAATCATGTTATCGAACAGTTGAAAACCGTGTGGATCACGTTCGTCGTTTTCACCCAGCAATGAAGAGTAGTCTCTATTAATAACTGAATAAAGAGAAAAAAATGAGCACCTGAAACTTTTGCCCCAAAGCTAGCACGGACCCTGAAAAAAAAAACCCAAGGAACATGGAACAAAGAAGTAGGAAAAGCATCACCAACCTCGCAGATAATTCTGTTTGCTCTGTTAGATCTTTCTGACCGCCCCTTTCTGCCTCCCTGTCACTTCCCACAGTGGGAATAAGTTGGGACTTGAATCGGGAGAAAAGGCCCAGCAATGACTTCCTTTCTCAATTCAGACCAGATGACAGTCCCATCTCTTTCTCTTGCCTCATGCTTATAAATTTCTCAGAGAGTAGAATGCTACAGATTCATTATCTTTTTTTTTTTTAAAGATTATTTATTTATTTATTTATTAGAGAGTGAGCAGGAGAGAAACAGCATGAGAGGGGAGAGGGTCAGAGGGAGAAGCAGGCTCCCCGCTGAGCCGGGAGCCCGATGTGGGACTCGATCCCAGGACCCTGGGATCATGACCTGAGCTGAAGACAGTCGCTTAACCAACTGAGCCACCCAGGCGCCCAGATTCATTATCTTTAACAGTAAAGTAAGAGGGGAAAGGAAGAGCAAACAAAAGACAAAAGAGAGAAAGTACTTGTCAAAAGGGAAAGGGAAGAGGAGTTGGAGAGAGCACAGAGCTGTATTATGAAGGTGGGGGAAAGAAAGGATACAACAGCAAAAAAAGAAAGGAACTTCACAGTGCGCTGACAGAGGTGGCTAGCTGGCCAATGAAGATGCATCCTCCCCTTCTGCCCTATGGAGTTGTTTCTGGAATGCAAATGCTCAGCAGGAGACGACATTTCCCAGTCTCTCTTGAAGTGATACGGGACCATGGGACTGGTTCCTATCAGCGGAATATGAGCTGAAGTTAAGAAATGTGTGTCACTTTGGGGCTCAGTTAAGACTGCAGGTAGCTTCTCTATTCTCTCTCTGTCTGCCCATCTTCTGGTTAGATAATGCCTTGATGTCATCCATATAGAAGACGTAGAGCCATTATGTGGAAAGAATGTGGATTCCTGAATCCCTGCTTGGAGAAGAGCAGCCCAGATCAGCTGCCCAACCAGGAATATCCACGTTAGGTTTTCTGTGAGTGAGAAATAAATGTTCGTATGTTTAGCTCCTGAGCTTTTGGGGATTGTTTGTTTTACCAGCAAACATTACTTACCTTGACTAATCTAGAAATTGATACCAGAAGGGAGCTCTAGAAGCAGTTACTTTTTCTTTTTACCTTTGCTAAAAAAAAGAAACCACAAAAAAACAGTTCATTATTTCCTGATATCCTCTTATTCTTCTATTATGTTGTCCAAAGCAGCCAATAACAACCAACACATGCTATTTTTCACCTACAAGCTCAAGAGTCATGTGGTCTGACTTTCAAGTTACTAAAAGCAGCAGTTTTGCCAAGTATTTTTCCACTGCATGATATGGATCTCCAGCCATGCAGACTAACATATCTGCTTCTAACAACTTGACCACAGAGTCAATGCCACACATTTTAGGGTTTTGTTACGGGACACCGTATCTGGTACAAACTATTACAGGCGAGTTTAGTCAGAAAAATAGAAGCCTCTTGTGGCAAATGCAATGGAATGTGTTCACCAAATGATTTCTCTTCCCTGGGCCCTTGGGAAGATCATAATGTCCTCTCCCTTGCAATTTAATTGAGGCCATAGGACCAATTCTTTGTAACGGAGTATAAACAAAAGCACTGTGCCACCTTTGTCCGGGGAGTTAAGAGTGCTTGTATGTTTCCTGTTTCTTTCTCGTCCACTTCCACTGGTTCTTGAAGGGTGTGTGTTCCAGATGATATAGTTACAAGATAGAAACCACTCCGCTTACAACCTGAACAAGAAATGACCTGTGTTTTGTTATACTATCAGGGTTTGGGGGTGTTTATTACTGCAACATACCTATCACATTCTGACTGTAAAAGTATTTCATCAGGGAGGAATTCAGTATAAGGAGGTGGAGGAATACAAAACGAGAATCACTGGGAGCCAGGAATGAAGGTCAAGGATGTTGTTGCTAACTTTCAGGAGATCTGAAGTGAAAGCATCAGCAGGACGTCAGGTTGCCACCGATGATCTCAGCTGCCTGCAGCACCAATGGGGGTGAGGCCTAGGAGGATGACATGTAGCCCCATGTCTGCTTTCTGCCAGTGTCCACACACCTGCTTGTAGCTACTGATAGAGAAAAAGAGCTTTTTTCCATTCACCTTCTAATGATTGCAAGAGCGTCTCTCAGTGGCAAGTAGGATGAAGAACCCTACTGCCAAAGGAGCCTGGGAATATAGTTGTCAGGTTTTCAGCCCTTATGGGACAGAGAGGAGCTTAGAAGGACAAAGATGGTGCTTATTGAGTTTCAACAAAAAAATGTCAGGTACAAATGCTCCTTGTCCTTCCCAGAGGAAATCCAAGTGGTCATCCTTCCATACCCCATTGTCTCTTGATTCTTGAGGGCAGATCTTAATCAATTCTTTATTCCCCAATGCCAGACTATACCAGACAAAAAACTGTTGTGAATTGATTTGGATGGAATGACAATGGAATCAATATAGCAAATAAGAAAGTTGTCCCCATGTATTTAAGTTAGATTTCAAGGGTCCTGTTCATGGAATCTGATGATTCTCTCTAATGGCTGCCCTAGTTTCTTCCCCAGCTTAAGCAATTTTCCTTCCCAGTCTGCTCTGAGTGACCATGTATAGAGCTGTTTGCTCAATAAGTGACCTTAAGCTTGAGCTCTGGATTGTCCACACAGCCAAAAAAAGGAGAATTTGATAATGATCTGGGTTATTGAATCCATAGAGACTGCCAATAATGCATATCTTAATGCAGTTTAAAACAAACGTGTGTGTGTGTGTGTGTGTGTATATATATATATACATATATATATATACATATATATATACACACATTATCAAGTTGGTTGTGTAGAGTTAGTCAAAGTATTTCTATATTTTATTCATTTGGCTCTGAACATGGCTTTTGTGCTTTGGCAGAGCTGGGCTATCTTTGGGAATGTGGGGTTTATGAGTTCACATTAGGGCAGGGTGGGGAGTATTGTGTAAGTGATGAGGGGCGGGTAGACTTGGGTGTTAGAAAGGACCTGTTCAGCAATAAGAAAAGGACATGCAGGAAAAGGAGGGCCAGACCCTGGTGTGGTCTCATCTAGAAAGGCACAAAGTTAAAACCCTGTAGAAGATTAAAGACATCCTCTTGATATTTATTTTCCTCATCAAAAAAGGGTAAGACTATTGTGCCTATGGTAAAAATAATAGTAGAATGACTCAGACTTATTTACAACCATCAAAGAAATGAAAGATATGGATCATGTCACTAATTAATCTTTTTATCATTATAAAGTGGTAACCATATCCAGCTGAAGTATTGTGTGCATAATAACACAATTATGGGGGATGTGATGATGTATCAGCTGCTAGTGCCCAGTATTTAGCCTCTCTTTTCCATTCCCACCCACCCTGATCTCTGGCTATATTTAGTTGTTTTACACAGTGTACCTAGACCAAAGTCTATTTTACAAAATTAAAAGAATAGAGAGAAGAGTTAGAGTCTTCATAGAAAAACCAGGCTCCACAAAATCTATTTCCCTTGGTTATCCATGTTCCTTCTTGGTAAATATATTTTCTCCTACTTTGCACCTAGAATCATGGATGGAACACAATCATGAGTTTATTTTGTGTAAAGGGAAGTAGAGCATTGAGCAATCATCTAATGAATGCAGTCAAGATGGTTAGTGAATCTGGAAAATTCCACTCTCAGAAAAAAATTACTTTCTCTACTCTGTAGCAGATTTCCTCTTGGCCTTAATTATCCACAGAGTTGTCCAATTTTCTGATAGTCTTTACCATTGTTGACATCACCTTAATAATTTATTTAATGGATTTCATTGGGTTCATTTGGGAACCCTTTATTCTAAGTGGCTGCTTTTATAAATTATTCAATAAGCATTGAACACTATTCCAGTTATCTGTTGCTGTGTAATAATCTACTCCAAAACCTAGTGACTTAATGCAACGATTTATTATTATCACTCTTGGTTCTTAAGGTCAATGGGTTCTGCTGCACAGTTCTTACTTGGTGTCCCTCATATGGTTGCAGTCTGATGGTAGTTGACGCTGGAGCCAGCTAAAGGTTTCCTGATTCATATGTCGGACATGGGGCTAGTCAGGAATCTTTTTCTCTCCACATAGTTACCTTGGGCTTCCTCAGAGCCTGCTGGTCTCTTGGTAATCAGTCTTCTTACCTTGTGACCAGCTTCCTCCAGCACAAGTGCTCTAAAACCCACATACAAGTGGCAAAGCCTCTTAAGACCTAGCCTTAGAAGTCATGCAGGTCACTTCTTCTGTGTTTTGTTTGTCAAAGCAGTCACCAGCCAACCCAGATTCCAGGAGTTGGAGAAATAGAGTCCATCTCACAGGAGGGGAATGGTTTGTGCATTTGAGGAAGAAAAGAAATGATGGTGGTCATCTTAATGACAAGCTACCGGAAGTACCTACCATGTGGCAGGCACTGTGATAGGTACTGGGGAAATGTGTTGGACTAAACAGACACAGTCTCTGCCCTTGTGGAGATTAAAATCCATCTTAACTTTAGTTTGATTTGACAGTTTCCACAATCCACTGCTGAGCGGTAAATCTCAATACCCAGTGTAGGTGGCTATTAAACTGGTAAGCAGTAGTAGGATAATTTGGGGTCTGTCATTTTGACTTCCTCAATAATCAAAGCGAATGAAATTTGTGATTATCTGATCCAGAGCTTGGTGATCCATTTGATGAGCTGATCGATTCATGCATTCTTTGAAACATCTGAGCAAAACTAAGATATCGTCTGTTGCTTAACACGTTGAGTTTCTGCTGTGCGTGGAGGCTGAAACTAACTTTTTAAACTTGTGATAGGGAATATAGAAGACACTGAAAAGCCGGATTTTGCTCCCGGTGAGCTTCCATTCCTTTTGGCAGTTTGATCATGAACAGGCGGAGCGACTTGGGACAGTTACAACGCAACATGTGGAACCCAGAAAACGCAGGAGGAACTAGACACGTGGTATCTTTCCATTTCCCTCTTGAAAATTACCTTTTGGAGAGAGATAAGTGACTATTTGCCTCAGTTTTCTTCTCTCTCATGTCATTAAAGGAAGGTGATCTAGGTTTGTTAAGTAAAAGGAGATTTCAGGACAGGAATGTTGACAGAAGAATTGGTGGTGTTCAGCAATCCTCAGGTCTTATCGTTTTTGGCATAGTTCACGTCCATTTCGTGGTAACAGCTCCGAGGGGCTGGGGGAGGGGGCTCGTGATGACACAAGAGATCCCTTGACATTTCAGAAACAAAGGTCAAAGCCTGAAAAGGTCCCAGAGCAGGCAGAATTCCTGCACGCGCTTGTCAAGTTCCCTGCCATGAAGCTGGTATCATATTGTGCTTTCTTATGTCTGTGCATCTATGTTTTCTCACGTAGCATGAAAGACATTATAGGGGATATTTTAAGTAAAACAGCAACAATAAAAATAACACACACTTTGCCTTAATTACATAGGTGTTTCGAGCAAAACTGAATTTGGCTTAGTTGTCATATGACAAGACTCCTCCATTAACTTTAACTTTGTAATTCATACTTCATGAGCATGGATACTTTTCTCACACTAGTGAATCTTGTGTCCCCTGGGTATCATTTGCTAAGTTAAACTTCTTTCCATTTCTCATGCCAATTTATTTATCTGTATGAAATGCCTGTCCCTCCTTCTCTGGAAATTCATAATAAATTTTAATTATATCCTTCTCTTCATTTGGCCAGTGCATACTTATTTGAAGTGTTTTGGGTTATGTTGCTGTTTGTGGCTGCTGATAGATATACCACTTCATAACTTTTCATGGGCACCTGATTTGCCTACCTTTTTATCAGTTGTTAAACTGAATGGCAGGAGCTTCCCTATCCACGCAAATACATACATCTGTATGCACACACATCTGTGTTGTGTGTGTCTCCATACACACACAAGAGACATCTCCCGGCATGCTAATCCACACGCTCCATGCTCCACTTTCCTTTTGTTAAAATCAAGCAGCCTATTTTGTAATTACCTGATGAATTGGATCAATACACATGTCTAGTGGATTACTCTGATTTTTAAAGCACTCCAACTACATATTCACAAAGATGAACATAACCTAAATGATTGCTCATCTTTTCTCTGGGAAAATTCTTTTCATGAATTCATGTAAACATAAGTACTTCAGCTACGTCAGTACCCGTGATTGATTGTTTGTGGCAAAAGTGATTTTTTTTTTTCTTGAATTGTGGAAGTTTTCCTCTTCAACGTGAGGCTACCAAGCCTTTGACGTTCCATGTCAGCTTAAGTGGGAGTTTATCAAGGTTTTTTAAAATTGGTCCTGAGGGGGCCATGAGCATGACTTGGAGGACTTATGCTCTTCCTCTATAATGTCTAGCTAGCTCCCTGCTCTGACTCCCTAAATGACATACAGTTTAAGTAGAAACTTGGGCTTGGCCTCAGGAAAAATCTCCTAGCATGTGTCATCCTCACTCTTGGCTTTTCTAACTAATTTGTGGTCCCTAAACCCTTTTTATATATAAAGTCTGGTGCTGCCACGGCCTATCTGCTAGGTAAGGGGCATCCCAACTTGTTCGATTTGGGGGCCACCAGGAAATGTTTTCTATACTTCAAATATCATAAATTATTTTGACATTCCTGATATTACATTAACATGAAATAAAGCTTTCTTCTCCTAATTAAGCATATGCTTAAAATGCAAATCCTGCTGGAAGCATTAATATAATGATGGGTCCTCATTCCCATAAGATGGTAATGACTGATGGCAGATCCTTTTTTTAAGAACAGGTTTTGATAAGGGCAAGGTGGTGATTGAATTTGGGACAGTGGTAGGTCACTGCATTCTTAAAGCAGTGTGTTCAGAAGTAGAATATTGATACCTCATGGAGAATCCCAAATGATCTCTTGAGGTGCAGAAAGAAGATATTAAATCTTCTGTTTATTTTATTTTAAAATTTCATCTTAGGTAAAGATTTTTTTTGGAGATATACATATATCTTTAAGTAAGCTCAAGGCCCAACGTGGAGCTTGAACTCATGACCCTAAGATTGAGAGTTGCATGTCCTATCAGCTGAGCCTGCCAGGTGCCCCAGGGTGTATGTATTTTTGATGCACACAGTACAGTAATACACATGTAATTTATAAGGGAAAACACACAAATTGTATATACCTCAAATATTTTTGCTGCTAGAACTGTGTGATCTAGAAGTTTAGCAAGTACTCCTTACACAGGGTAAATGTGGGTAAGGCTTTCATGATGCTGCATGGAAGAACAGGAAATAGTTACAGAACAAGTTTGCAACCTCAGAATCCTGACTGCACTTATTACTGATTTCAGTTATTTGATCAATAGGGAGTTTACTAACTCTCAACCTGACGCCAGACAGTCCCTTTTAAGATGTCAAGAAATTGCTCAATTTTAGGATGTTGACCAAAGAAAGTAGATTTTCATCATGCTTTTTTTTTTTTTTCCTATTTTGTTTTCTCAAGGGTCTCATGGGAACAGAAAGTTTTGAGAGAGTTTACTATTTGTGCAAGATGACTGGTTGGGTAAAGAAGTCCAAAGTTTATTATCTGCAGAACAAATAAAGCCCGGGCAAAGGTAACTGAAACGAATGTCTCCCACCTTGTCCCTTCAGCCTGTCTAAGGGGATGTTTGCGCCAATGATTGCGCAACCGAGAACATAATCTGTGTGTCAAATGGACAGAAGGTGCATTTTAGACTCCTACTGGTTAAAAATAGTCACTGACTTTTATTGCTCTTAGTTTGATAGGACGTTGAATGTGGTGTCTATGCAAAAAGCATATGAAATATCTGTTGATGAGATTATTTCTGAATACCCAGGTGTTGCTTCTCAGATAGCATCAGAGTAATTAGAATTTTTTTCTCCTTCTCCTCAAGTAGACACCACATAGCTCTTGGCAAATACTAAAATAAGTTTGCCAATTCATGGCTACTCTGGACTTTTCTGTTGGTGGTGAGTAATGACATCAAGGACCATTGGATTGTTTTGTGATGACTCCAAAGTAATTACAAGTATTCAGACTGGTCAAACATATAGTGTGGGGCTCAGCTAGTCCTTTAGAAGATAACTTCCAATGCATAAATGTTGATGGGACAGTGGGAAGTAACTGAATGGTTGAGGTTAGGAGCTTACTATCAGGGAAAAAAAAAAGAATAATGCTTTGGGTCTCAGAGGTCCTTATTGACCAGGTATTGACTGAGCCATTTCTCTTTATTTTGACTCTTTTTTGTTGTTGCTTTTGTGCAAACCTGAAGTTTATAAAGCCAATTAGAGAGGCATTTTATAAGGGACAGTCACAAGTTGTGATAAGGAATGAGCCAGAAGCCAGTTATGGATAGAACCTAAGTAAATTAAAGAGTTGACCTCTGATTTTAAACTTAGGGACTGGACAATTTTATAAACTTTCCCCAAGTATGTTTATCATCCAAGAATTACTTTCTCAAGGAAATGTTTAAGAAAGAGTTTAAACATGAAGAACAAACCAATCAGTGTGAGAGACTGCCTAATTTTTGGATGGCTGAAGAAGTCCTAATTGATTTGATAATGTGTTGCATGAAATCCACCCAGAATTGTCTCTGTCCATGTGAGTATGTATGAATATACAGGTAGTTAAAACTAGTTAGTGTCCAGATTATCTGAATAACCATAAGTTTATGGCTATTATTGTTTAAAAAGAAAAACCCCATAATTTTCCAGTATGGAAAAGACAAATTCCAATTTCTAAACCTAAGCCCTTTGTGACCTGTGGTTTGGAATTTCACTCATGACCAGCTATTCACATGGAAAAACTAATTATGGTATAAATTTAGCTTAGACATTTGGAAGTACTCCTGTAGACTGAGACACTGAGCTGAGTTGTAAATGGGTTGGTAGTTTCTGGACTCTTTCAAAGCCCAGAGTAGACAATTCTCTTTCTGAGTCTGTAAATCTGTTGGTTTTCCCCCCGCCCCCCTGAAAATAATGACCTTCGGAGGGTCCATCAAGCTCTAGGATTTTGTCAGCCATCCATCCGGGGCTTACAACATTGCGTGTGAATTGTCTGCTCTGTCTTTAAGAGGAGCTACTTTCTGAGGCGCGTTGGTGACTGTGGGAATAGAGGTACACTGAGGTAATGTGAGCTGCAGGAGTAGAGATGCTGGAAAGGTCTGTGATTCAAAAATGGGCTTTGGAACCTGCAGAGCCCATTAGATCGGTCAATGAATAATAATACAAACAATACTTAGAAACCCAAGAATATTACGGCATTTGTTGAAGAAGATGACAGAATGGAAGAGGGAAAAAGAAGAGAGAGCCAGAAGGACTGAGAAGGACAGGGATGAGAAAGCCCGAGCCTGAGCGCGTCTGAGGTGCACGGCTGGCGGGCTGCATGCTCAGAGGGCCTGGTTTTCCAATCTGGCACTGGGCTTGATGAGTCTGTTTATTCAGCTATGGTATCAGACATTCCCTTTTCCTGCCCGAAGAAGTCCCCTTTGAAGAACTGCTCTGCTGGGGAGTAGTTTCCCCTTGGACGCGTTGGTTACTCCTGTTTGCAGACCTAAAGGAAAAGAACTGGAAAGGCCACAAGAATGTTCTTTAAAGTGATATTCCAGCGCCACGTGAGGGGAGGATGAAATAGCTGTAAAAGATTTATTTCCTGGTTGAGGTATTTTTTTCCCCTCTCAAGTGAATGTAGCACTGAACAAAGGTGTCACATGAATGCAACAGGGGTCAGATGTTCTTGGGTACCTCCGGGTCTGTGTAGTGGGGTGGGCGAGTACTGTGCCGAGCAGGAGCATTTCTAGCTTCTGGAGGCCTGGAGAGAGGGGGGAGCGCACCTGCGAGAGTCGGAGGGCATTCAGTGGCACCTGCAAGCGAGTCTTGCAAGTCTGTATCTGCAAAGCAATCACTGGTGGCGACTTATCAGACATTCAAAGCAGGACAACAGAGAAAACTTGAGTGAACTGGGGGGACAACATTCATAACCAAATTGGGTAATTCAGACAATTTCCCTTGGGGGCTTGAATATTAATGTCGTACAGTTCAGTGGCACTTTTTACTTTTCAAAGAAGTTTTTCATCTAGCCCCCACGTTCGCCCTGTGAAGTAGCTCACGTAGGTGTCAGGATCCTGATTTTTTCTCTTTGGAAAAGGATGTGGCCAAAGAAAAGGGAGATTGTTCCCTAGCTCGTCACTGACAGGGGCAGGATGACAACCCCGGTCTCCTGACTCCGGGACCAGGCCTCTTTGCTCTGTGGTCTTGCGACCTATACAAAGGGACGATGGGAGTTTCAGAAAAAAGGAAGGTGACATTCTCCATCTCCTCCCAGGCATGTGGAAAGTTGCTGTGACTTTGAAGCCACTGCTTTGCTGTGTCCAAATTCTCTCTCCGGGACTGGCCTTAGGGAGGAGATTCAAAGTGAAACCTTCAGAGGGGGAAGTCTCATTCTAGTCACTGTGGCTGCCCATGCCTCTGGTGGATTTCTTCCATCTTTGCCTGGACCACATAAATCAGGAGCTCTCCAGAGTGAAAAGGGTTCTTTGTTCCATCTCTGAGATGAACCCTTTGAGTCAGAGATGCCACTCTATCGCGAGGCCTGGCTTTTCCAGAAGAGGGGATGGGACCCACACTCTCTGCTTGGTTCCTGGCCGAGACCCAATGACTCACGTTG